TTCCCTTTGCCGCTGTCCCCTTCCTCGGCTTTCCCTCCGAAAACCAGCTAGCCAATGGGCGCGCTGGGGCCGTCAATCGACAAGAGTGCCCGTTATTTTTCTTCAGTACCGTGTTAATTTTAGCTACGACTTAAAATATAAATGTGTTACCAACTCACTGTTGAGTCTCGCCGACCTATTCCTCTAAAGTACGATGTGTCGTGATTAAATAAATTCTTGACTTAAGCAAAACCTGACCTCGTTAAGTTCTTGTGGAGACATCTTTCCACGAATTCTAACTGATAATAAACCTTTCACAAAAGCATCTTGTAAATGTTAATCAAGCATCACTGAACACTGGTACTTTCAAAATAATTAAAATCTTATTTTATTCCACCAAAAAGAAAAGATAGAAAAAATTTTGCTGAAATAATTGAACGTTTTGTATGGGTGCTTTGCTCCTTGTTGCTTCTTGTCCGAACTTGTTCAAGACATTTCTGAAATTCACAATTTTTTTCTTTTTTTTTTTTGAGTTCTGTTTTGGTGATTTTTACTACAGATTGTTCTGGCTCGCATATCTCGTTAGTCTGCGAAAAACTTCCGATAATATATAGAACAAATATTAAGTGGAAATTAAAAACTAATAAACTAATGCATCGCCTTAAATTGAAAGTGAGGGGTATCAGCAAACAAGAAAATAAATTAGTATACAGGCAAACCTCATTTCAACACCACTTCGTGCAATTCCCCGTCGAATTTTATTCTCTTACAGGTCGTTAACTTCTCCATTTTATCTGCAGTAGACTTCATTTTTTCACTCTGTTTAATAAGAATCAAATATTTCTCGTTCAGTGAAATAATTGTTCAATAGAATAAAATTTGTCAGATAACAACAGCTTCCAAAAACTTCTAAGATAAGATCATAGAACAAAACCAAAAATTGCGAGAAAAAACGCTCAGAAAAGCATGACCTTCGCCTTATCGATGTCTACTTGTCAAATCTCTAACACTTCCATACTGGATCTGGACTACTGCTGCAAACGCTTGAAAACATCAATTGTTTCAATGGAACACTCTTTAATCAGATCCATCAGAAAAGGACACCACTTATGTTCTATCCACCAGCAAAAAACTTATAAAGGAGACTGCAAACGATATTCCACTTGGCAATCTCTACGATTATATCGCTAAAGCAAAAACAACACGTTAGAATAAGCAGATAAAATATGGAAAGTTTATACCACCGTTTTGAAATTGAAAAACTACTGTTTTTCTTTAACTCTCGGTAAAAAAGTGTGCTACTGCAGTTTATGGTACCCACTTTCAACCCCACGCATTTTCTCCCCCGTTAATCTATCTTTATTCCTCATATAAGAGATTACCAGTCTACCTCTGTTCACCTGCATTAATTCTCCCAAAATCTATGCACTATTTGTCTTACCTCAACTACTGTCAAGATGCGACCTGCAGCTTTTGACGCACCTAGCCACTAATAAACTCCAGTGTAGTCTTGGTCACGCAATTATAGCTACTGTGAACCGGGAAGGTTCAGATCCGTTCATATAGTAAAAATCACAATGTTCCCTTTCGTCATCTTAAACAGTAAATTAATAATTTCGATGCACGTAGCTTAAGATTTTGAACCAAACAAGAATTT